ACGCCCCGGAGGCGTAGGTTACTCGTTGAGAAGCGGGCTCAGGCGCTGAGAAGTTGCCAGCCGGTTGTGTCTCCCAGCCCCTGGAGCTCGTTTGTGGGGGTGATCACACTGACGTCGCTGAACTGTTCGTGGAAGGCAGCTTGGGGTTCAGTTAAAACGTGGGATCGGCTCGCTCAATGCCCAGCTGAGCTTGATCTGAGCAGGAAGATGCTGGGTTTTTTTTTTTAAACCGAGCAAATACTTTTTTCTTTTTTCCCCCCTTCGTGTTCTGACAGGACTCTGTATTTGCAATGAAGTGTGAAGTAACGTAGCTCGCAGTACGGACGCAACCACCAACGCGCCCCACTGCCCTCCCCAAGTCAACCAAACAAAACCCCAGAAAAAAAAACCCTTGGCTCCCGTGGTCTCTTTTTCCAACTCAAGTCGCTGAGGCCGGTGTCGACACTGGTCTTGAACAGCAGTTTCCTCGCACTCCTTTGGTCAAAAGGTGTTTTTGTTTCATTTGGCTGTATTGGGTGTTGTACTCGCACGGACCGCTTCGCTGAGTGGAGCTTGCCCCCCCCCCCAGTGTTGCCCCCCTGGCTGGGGGGGGCGCGTCCTGTCACCCATCTGGAGCCGCGGGGGCACGGCATGCCGCTGCCCCGTTGCACACAGCCAGGCCCTCCACTCTCCTTGTCATAGTTTGCACGGGGAAGTCTTCCTTGATGGCTGGCCTAAGAAAACTTTCTTGGCCTAAGTCTGGAATAAGTTTATCTTGCGACCTCCGTTGATCCGTTACAACTTTTCTCAGTCTTCCCTAAGGAGATACTTCTACAGCTTCGTATGTCACTATGCTGTTGACCTTTAGTTATTTTACCCTAGTTCAGGCTATGTTAAGGATAACATCTATCTGGTTGCAACTTGAATTACGTTACTTGCCCGTTTACTCATTTCACTTCATGTATTTCTTGCTCTATAGGTGCATAGTTTCATGGGACAGAGCTTATGTAGTGCTGTGCAAGACTCTTAAATCAGAAAATATGACAAGGAAAAATATAATCTTGGGTTGTTCCCCCCTTCCCCCTCCCCCCTGGAAATAATTGTATTGTCCAGTAGCACTAAGCATGTACTTCAAAGTAAAGACCTGTTTGGGGTAAAAGTGGATCTCTGCTATGTGGTGCACCGGGGCTTTTTGAGTAGGCGCGGGTGTCGGAGTGGGTAAAAGGAGAGCTTGCTCGTCTGAGTTTCAAGGCAGGCACCACCACTGAATAGTACTATGACTCTTCTTTTATATTCAGCTTTCATGAATCCGTTCTGTTATTTTTAAGGTGAAAGGCCGTATTTGTGTGACTACCCAGACTGCGGGAAAGCCTTTGTTCAGAGTGGGCAGCTCAAAACTCACCAGCGCCTCCACACAGGGGAGAAACCTTTCGTCTGCTCGGAGAACGGTGAGCCGTCAGAGAACAATTTGCAGCTTTCAGGACTAGGGTCAGTCCGGTACTGGCAACGTGTGTGCGCTCACGTGGCAAAGACCCGTAAAATCCTCGGATTTTAATTCTGGAGGAGCATCTAGGGAAGGGAGGAGCCACACAGAATCTGCATAATGATGCAAACACGTAGTTAAGGATTGCACACTTGATTGTGTAAGTAGGTTATCAGTAATTCTGTCAGCTGGTACTGATACATAAAATGATGGGGCACATTACAAACCTTGTGACTAGAGCTTGCTGTTTTCAACCCAACCTAGGGTTTTGTGAGTGAGGAAGGTTGGATTCAGCAGCAGCAACGTCTTCATCCCATAGATGTTATGCTTACTCATTGGTTGGCTGCTTCCCGTAATGCGTTCTTCATTGTCACTTCATGTTTTTTAAGGCTGTTTAAGCAGGTTCACGCATGCAAACCGTCACTGCCCCAAACATCCATACGCCCGGCTGAAGAGGGAAGAGCTCACAGACAGGCTGAATAAGAAGCAGACAGCTGACAATAAAGCCGTGGCTGAGTGGCTAGCAAAGTAAGTTTTCTTCATGGTGTCATCTTTCTCCAAATACTTACAGGGGTGGTCTGACAAAGCATTTTATTCTTCGGGGGGGGGGGGGAAACCCACAAACACAAACACCGCTTTTTGTCAAATAAAATGAA